ACAATTGAAACAATTAGTTCCATTTACGCCACACGTACATTATGTCCTATTTTGCTTCAAGTGATGTTTATGTGCAGTGTTGAGACAGCGCATTAATCTTCCGAACCCCGGCATTTACCACTTGTAGAAAACTATGTATTTTTAATAAGATGTCTTCCTTATGATCTGACACTTGAGCACCTCTAAAACCTGACCCTAGTCCGATTATTCGTAGCTGAAATATTTATTAGCTTTTTAAATAAGTGAGAAATGTTATGACAATGTCGGATTCTACATTTCATTTTATTGGGTCAGAATTACAGACAGACCTAGCTCCAAAGGGAAAAAATGATTTTTTTCTTTGGACAATAAAGAGTATTCTATATTCTTAACTCCGAAATATACGGAAAACATTCAAGTTGGTATTAGTGGTATTAAATGGAAGACAAATTCAGCTAAACGATCAATAATTATCTTAAGAATTATCTTTAAAGTTAGTCTTCCAAAAAACATCCTTTTTCTTGGTCATTAGAACTAGATATTCACTAGATCAGAACTAACTTCGATGCGAGCCAACTAGGCTACCGGTAGGTGTTGCAAGATATTGTCGATAATATGAAATTCTTCTTATTTTTTATTACGTTTTAAAATATTTTTTATCATTATTTCATTATCTTGACATCGAAAAAGGTAAGTCCGCGAAATTCTAATATACTTCAATGAAAACTGTTTAACTTCGAAAAAGAAGGGAAAAAATTCTGATTTAGCCGATCAACATCAAAGAACTGTAACTGTAACTGTATTTATATGTTTGAATCCAACTAAGAAGTTTAGCATTAAAAAAAACACGATTATTTTTTATAAAATATTCTAATCCATTTATTAAAACAAATAAAAAGATATATCCACTTACCTTCAGGAATATATTCAAGAAGACCAGCATCCGTCGTAGACACGGCAGCACAACGTCTTTACTGCCAACTAAAGAACTACATCTAGTGATAATACTTGAGATATAGGCTTGTTTAGTTGTCCCTATAGGGGGGTATGAGGAATCACTCATTACCTTTAGCCCTGATATGAACCTTTGATGAACTAACTGAAGAGCTACATCTGATAATACTTGAGAACTAGGCTTGTTAAGTTTTACCTATAGGAGGGTATGAGGAATGCTCATTACCTTTAGCCCTGATATTAATAACCTTTTTTTGTTATTCATCGATATGATTTGAAAAGATCTACCCCGCTATTGATACGAAATAGGACGCAAGATGACAGATCAGATGCGTGATAACAATTGAAGTCTACCTACATTTTTTAAATGGTTCCGTTTAGAATCAAAAATTCCAAGTATCTTTTCACTTGCCAGTTATTGTCTTTTACTCAAACCTAACTAATAATAATAATTTTCAGACTAAAACTAGCTTGAAGGGAATTAGAAAAGATGTTCCTTAATATTCTATTTTGCCATTCAATTCTAGATTGTGGACACAAAGACACCCTACTGAGTATGAAATGGATTTTTACCGAGGCAGGAAAAAATTCAGTTCAATTTTTTTTCTTCTTTTCTGTGAACAGGAAGTTTATAGACACGTATTTACTTTCCTCTCGAATTGAGCGCAGTATTTGATTTTGTCGAGTCTTCGCAGTATAACATTAGTATCTTATATTCTATGGTTACCCGAGGCAGGAAAAGATTCAGTTCAATTTTTTCTTCTTCTTTTCTGTGAACAGGAAGTTTACAGACACGTATTTACTTTCCTCTCAAATTAAGCGTAGTATTTGATTTTGTCACGTCCTCGCAGTATAACATTAGTATCTTATATTCTGTTGTTGGTTAAAAATTACAATTGATAAATGTTAATTTTAATTTTTTGTAATTATTCCAAGAAAGAATTGATAAAAACTACTTGGACCAATCGTTTGTTCTCTGGATACAGCAATCAATAAAAGCAACGCTATTTGATTAACAACTCAACAAATGAAGCACTAATTAAGTTGAAGCCAAATTTGCTAGCCGCTAATTAAGCTCGAAAAAATAAATAAGAATAATTAGAAATATTTGATGATTTAATTTTATCTGATATCTAATAGTCTCGTAGAAAATACCAAGGTGCCAGTGGCGGATCCAGGGGGGGTTCGAAGGGGTCCACAGAACCCCCCTTGAAGGTTTGATCTTTTAGGTTATAGAAATATGTCTTATATGAATTTTAATAAAAAAATATTAGTAGTTTTGCGTTGGGTCATGTTATTATAGCTTGCTCCGTTACTAGATAGTAAATTAGGTGATTAGAGCCATTATTTTTGTCAAACATCGACTAAACAAAAGAGAATTATACACAGTTTAAGAAAAATCCTGGATCTGCCACTGGGTGCAGCATAAGTAAAGATGTAATGCGAGGTATACATGGGGTATACTTATATCTCACATCTCTGTCATTTACCAACTATTTTTTGCGAATTTACTCCGTCTGCCACTAATAATCTTTATTTCATTTTAGTACTCAGTTATATACTAACATAATAAGGGGAAATGTAGATAAAATCACCCAATATTTGCGGTTGGATATAAAATTAAATAAATATGAATATTTATAAACTAAATACTTATCGCAAGTACTTAGACCTAAATTACTATCGTCCAACCGGACATTAATTCAGAGTAGTTTCTTTTTTAAGTGTTTTCTTTTTCACAAGAAGTATTAGTCCTTGAAAAAATCTTACGTGTCTGAGTGAGAAACAGGATTCGAAGAGGTTTTACAAGATGTTTACCAATCTTCAGCTCTGTAGAATGCCTCTAACCTTTCTATATTTAGCGCTTGAAAGCGGGACTGAATTTTGGTGAAATGTTGATTACAGCGATACTCCAAAAACAATAAAAAGACGCTTAAGGGCATGACACGTGCAAAGCACCTTATCGTGTTTATTGGAGCCCAATAATAATGAATATATGAAATATATGAATATACAAATGATGACTTATTTTTGTTTTTGATTCAGATCTTGCAAAATGACAACAACCTTTATTTTACTCATAGCTGGGATCGAGAAGAAAAATGCATAAAAAACATTTAGTACTAGAAATCTATTAACAATCATGCAGGATAAAATGTATATATGTTTACAAAGAAAAAAAATAGATACTAGAATTAGTGTTTGAGCCTGAGGATTAAAGTAACCATAAGTTTTTTAGTTAACCTAGTTTTCTAGTCAAAGCAATCTTTTGTCGCCTATTTGACCGACAAATAAGAGAGCATGCTAGCTTGCCTTGATACGTGCTATATTAATGAATGAATCCATGAATTATGTACCATCCACATGCCCCCCCCCCCCCAAAGATTTTTGCAGTGCCCCTCCAAAGACTTTTAGCTGATCTACCTACACTACCTATCCACCCATCACCACGATGCCAGAATGTAGCAAGTGAAAATCATGAATATGTAGGTATGGATGGATGGATACATGATTGAACAAAATAAATAAATGAATAAATAAAAAAATAAATAAATAAATAAATAAAAATAAATAAATAAATAAATAAATA